TTTATAAATTTCCTAATTTATCTATTGATTTGTGGTTAATATTGGTTCTCACAGTTACTACAAACAACTCAGTTCTCCCTTGAATAGGCCCATATATATATATATATATATATATATATATATATATATAGGCGGGATCAAATGAAAACCGTCTAATTTTTAGAAACCGTAAAACTAATTTCGACCAATAGGAAAAATCTTTTTTTTTTCTTAATTAAATTTAATCATTAAAGGTAGATTTGTCATTTACATTGTTTTCTATTAAATATAGAAGTTATTAATAAATCTTAATTAAGGTAACATAATAAATAAAATTTTATAAATGGTAATATTTAAATGTGAATTTTAAAAATTGAATATTGTTATTTGGTTTTTCGGTTTATTAGTGGTTATAATATGAAAATCGAAAATTATTATATTCATTAATTCACAAAATCAGTAACAGATCAAAACAAAGATTCATGAACCGATAAAAATATAATTAGCTGTGAAACAAATTCATGTTTGTTCATGAAAACGTTCACTGAGGAGCTTGTTTTATGAAACGTATGCAGATTGATTCGTGAAAACGTTAATTGATGAGCTTGTTTTATGAAACTTTTGGGGATGAACTGGTTGCGTAATATAATATTCTTGCATAATCTTGTTTTCTTATCAACAATATTTGATGAAATTGTTTCATTTTGTTTTTTGTTTTGGATGATTTTGTTTACTTAATGGTTAACAAAGCATGTAATGGTAAATGCATTGACTCTATGAAACGTGTTCGTATTGGAAGAAATTGGTCGATGAAATGGGTGCATAAAGAAAGTGAAACAATTTCATAACTGTTATGAAAATGTTGTGTAATTAGCGAACAGTGAAGTAATTTCATTATTACGACGAAACAGATCCATCTACCAATAAGATGGAAATGACAAATGTCTCATCATACATTACGTTGATTAGTGTATTGATGAAACCGTGAAACGTGTTTGAATTGCAAAAACTTTGTCGATGAAATGGGTGCATAACGACAGAGAAACCATTTCATAATCGTTAAGAACATGTTGTTTAATTAGCAAACAGTGAAACCATTTCATAATTAGATTGAAATAGATTCATCTACCGGAAACTTGAAAATGACAAATGTCTCATCTGACATTACGTTGATTTGTGTATTGATAAAACTGTGAAACCATTTCATTCATGAAATGTAGTAGTAAATTTTTTTTATTATTCAAAAGGTTTCATTATATTAAATTGATTATAGTGTGTTTTATTTTTATTGTTGATCTATTTTAATGATTAAAGTTATATTTTTATAATACTTAAACATATAATTAATATATTATTTTACAAATGATTTTGTTTCATTAATATTACGATATACATGATATGGTTGCCATTAATATTACCACTACCAAAGTTACTATTTTGTCTATTTTGGGATTATAAAATAAATTTTTATTTTTTATTTTTTTTATTTCTTAATATAACCTAAACTAATCTTGACCATTGATCAAGAAAATGGATGGATGAGATTGGTTTACATGGTTTACACACATGATGACGGTTTTCATTTGATCGCTCATCTCTCTCTCTATATATATAATTATTGAATAAAAAAGCCATGGCCCCTAAGGGTGCGTTTGGTATGTGGAACAGGGTGGGACAGGACAGAACAGGACACACTTGTCCCATGTTTGGTGTGTTTCTAAGTGGAACTAAGTGGAACTAAGTGGAATAAGAATGGGACACGCGAGTTCTACCTAATACCCTGGAACTAAGTGGAACTCAAACTTATTTCCCTCAATACCCT